CGTAATCAGGTGGAGAATATGACGATACAGATTTCACCAGACAGTAGTCAGATGTACCCAAAGGAGAAGTAACCTGTACTTCATATCTCTCTGGTTCGGTAGTCAGCAGAAGGTCCAAGCAATTTGCTGTGTGACCGTCTACATCGGGTACCCTAGTCGCCACCTTTACCATCTGAGAAAGACCTACCGTCAAAGCAAAATTCCACGCTTCTCTTCCAGCAAGGTCGGTCTTTTGGTATGGGAACAGCCAGTTTTGGTGACAAGCGTTAAAGTCCCCCAGAAAGACCAACTGTGCAGTAGGATACCGATTTAGGGCCACGTCAGCAGCCTCACTAAGGTGATCAAATAATCGTGTTGTCTCCTGGTCACCGCTGTGCGATCGATAGACACAGGCATAAAGGATTTTATCAATACCTGTATCTACCATCACTCAGATTGTCGAAAAAGTGGGGTCTTCAAGGTGACAGAGACGCTGGAAGCAGATATCATTGCGGACGTACACACATACTCCGGCACGTGGATGGAATTTGCGCTCCAGGGAGAATCCAGGATAGTCAAGGTACGCCGCACTCAATGGACATCCAATTTGCGTCTCTGTCAAGAAAAGTAGGTGCGGCTTTTCAGTCTCAAGATGGTGATGGACTGCGCTGAGATTAGAGTGCAATCCTCGAATATTAGTGAGGTGCACTTTTAGGGAGAGGACGTGCAACCGCTGTTCTACTTTTCTTTTTTATGTACATATTAAGTGTTGAGATGAGAGTGAATAAGGATGGAGAATGGCAGTTGAGCGAGGTGTTGCATTAATAACCAAACGATATGGAGGTTTGATCTTGCTGGTTGCAAGAGTATAATGAAGCTGCAAAGCTGCGCTGATTCCTTATAAACATTTAAAAAAAAGTTGCTGGTGGAGAGTTTTTTTATGAAATAAAATAAAGAATATTTCAAATGTTATTATCAGAGCACCATTTATTTAAACAAAAACATTTTTCAAAGCACATACTGAGTCGTGATTAATACAACTATACAAATCTTTAAATCGATCATACAGATTTAACAAACTAGGACATCCTTTATCTTTTAAATTAATTATATTATCATTTTGTAAGATGGATTTTAACCATAAAACTTTTTCTAAACCTTTGACGTATATACATTTATCCTTTATATTATCTGCAATCAAATTCTGATAATTTAAATAAGGTGTTACTCCCTCACACCAATATATCTTTCTATTACGTTGAATCCAATTTACATGTTTCTTTTTTTTTACAGTCAATTTGTAAAAAGGAAATGGCGGTTTAATTAAAAGTCGTTGTATTTTATTATTACACAATATTGCAATTTCTTGCACTATGAATTCATTTCTTTCTGTTTTGAAACCTTGGACATCTACGATAGCAGTCCTGTCAACTTGCGCACTATGTTACTTAAACGCTTATATTCCATAAGTTGATCGTTAATGATTAAACAATATCCAGTTGTCTTCTCTGGTATTGCCGTTGTACATTCAATCTCCAAACGAACATCTACGGGTCCCGTTTTTAGACTGTCGTTTTGTCTTGAACAATCTATCACAAATAGCGGAGCCTTCTCCTTAAAGCTACTTAAATCAAGCAATGGGTCTGCGGGACAGTTGTAGTATGACTGGCGAAATTCCACATACATTTCGTATAATATATTAAATTTGTTTTCGGAAAACTTTAAACATAAGGGCTCGTATGGGTAATATTGTGAATTCAAAAACAATGTCACATTTCTCACTCCACAGTGATCAAATACTGAACAGTCGTTCATTTTTTGATTTTTTCTGTTTGTTTGTAAACAAAAAATTACATATCGAGGTTTCTCTAATTGTGACGCAGTCTTAATAGACCAGGAATGCTTAGTTTCTGTAGGAAGTAAAGGGTATTCATATAAATCCCAATTTCTAAATGCCATCTGTATAGGTTTATCTCTTTCTAAATGTTTAAGAAGTTTCAGTCGTTCACGATCTGATACTTTCACATGTGGCACTCGCCATTGTATTCTTTGTATGTCTATTTGAAAATGTGCAACGTCTTCAGTTCTTATAATACTATTTATATGAGAATTACTTCTGTTCAGTATAAGTTCATGTTTACAATTTTAGCATAATCTTCTGCAAACCCTAAAATCTTATTTAAATGTTCAGTAGCAAAGAAGCTAGCAACCGTATTCCGCGTGTCCAACGAGGTCATTTTCCATCCTCGCTCATGGTATGGTTGGGAGTTTCTTATTGGGGCTTAACAGAGGTACATTTTTGTGAGAAAGGTGTAAAAACGAATGCAGTTGTGTATCAAAATACAGTCCTGACGAACCTTGTGGAACTTGTTTCTCATACCATGTTCAATAATAGGCACTGGGTATTCCAACAAGATTCGACGCCAGCTTATAGAGCGAAGAGCACACAAGACTGGCTGGCGGCGCGTGAAATCGACTTCATCCGGCACGAAGACTGGCCCTCCTCCAGTCCAGATTTGAATCCGTTAGATTACAAGATATGGCAACACTTGGAGGAAAAGGCGTGCTCAAAGCCTTATCCCAATTTGGAATCACTCAAGACATCCTTGATTAAGGCAGCCGCCGATATTGACATGGACCTCATTCGTGCTGCGATAGACGACTGGCCGCGCAGATTGAAGGCCTGTATTCAAAATCACGGAGGTCATTTTGAATAAACTTTAGTGTCATAAAAATCTATGTTTTGTTAAGTTCATTTTGGTATATAAATGGTTACATAATGAATAAACTTGTTTCAATTATTTTATATTAAACATGTGACAGAATTTATGACCTGACTAGGTATATTGTTCTTTGAAATTAATTCTGTAGGCAAATTGATCTAAAACTTTAATAGTTATAAATGTAATATTATTTTTATTCACTGGGAAGTAGATAACGTTCTGAGGTATTTCTATGTATTGATTATCTGCAGCAGTTTTAGATACAAATTCGTGAATAATATGAGTAGGTAACTCACAGATGGGAACTTGCTATCAACATAAGAATATTTTGTTGGTGAGTTTATTACTGAAAAATATAGTAAACCGCACTCGTATTGAACTGATAAACTCAGAGGCGGTTGAAAATAGGAATCCAATTCTGATTTATAGACATGCTTGTATACTGAGCAATTTATGAAGTTCTTGTTTATTTTATGTCTTGATTGCGCCAAAAATTCTCCAAAAAAATCAAACAAAGATGTCCACAATTAAAAGGATGATCACGCTGTACTCGTATGTTATCATAATTATAGTGGACTTTAGGACCTAAATATTTTATCAATTCCATTTGAGGTTTAAGATTTCCATAACTGTCGAAATATTCAACATAATTATTAAATTTTATATAGGCTACCCAATGAGATCCCGGATTTGAGGAAATATCTAAATTTATAACTCCACATTCTTTTTTAAAAGGGTGTGTTGGGAGCTCATCTCTCATAAAGACACCTCGAAAATAGGGAATATTTTTTCCATACTTTAAAATGTCAATGTTAGTTAAGGCGCGTTTGGGTAGCCCATATTCTAGTTTTTTTTTTATTTCTTTAGATACAAAAATGCCAAATCCATTTTTATGAGGCTTAAACTGTAACCCATTTCCGATACAAAGAGCTTCCATTTTTTCATTGTGTCTCTTCAATTCAGCAAATTGTTTTTTAGTCATTTTGATTTCATTTATAGTTTTAAGTATACCAGCTGCACCACCTGCTAAGGCTCCCGTAGCCGATAATCCGGCAAAAATCGGAATCAAAGGTGTTTGATTAGGAATAATGTTTTTGGTATAGGAATAATGCGAGGAAGTTTTATAACAGAATTATCAACTAGTTCTCTAGCAGCAGCTATAGCTAGCTCAATTGCTGCTTTCTTGCATTTTGGTTTTAATTTTTGCATACGTCTTTTCGTTTTTGTAATGATATTCTTAAACTTATTTTTAAATTCATTCCTCAACTTTCTCGGAGACATTTTATTACTATAGCCATTATTTAGGCCAGCCCCAGTTTTAATTTTTGATTGCATAGCTTTGCTTACTATCTTTGCTGCTAACTTTTCTCCCAAATTTGCATCGGGAGCAATCCCTCGTCTATTTGCCTTTTTTAACAAAACTAAATCCGCCTTATGTCGATCTTTTAAGTTTGTATATTTGTGATACGCAATGTCGTGTTCTTTACAATATTCGTCTAATTTGTTTATACCTTTGACTCCACGTGATAGTTTTTTGATTAAATTTGTACCAGGACCACAATAATTGTGTCCCGGTAAATGTAATTCAAATGGTAAATTATTAATCAACCAATTGAGAAGACTACTCTCACCAATGCACATCATAAGACTTTTAAGTTTAATCGCGCTTGGGATATTTATTAAATATACCATTTTTTCTTATCAGTCAGGTCAGTAAGTCTATTAGACTTATCGATCCAATTGTTTTCACTAGAAGACAAACCTAGCCATTTTACTAAAACTTTATTTCCTTTCCTTCTTAAAACTTTTTCGACTAAATATATGTTTGGATTTTTAGTCTTTTGTAGCTCTTGCGCATAAAATCCTCCTAAAATTGGTTGACCTCTAATTGTATCTTTAATTAAGTAAGTGGTTGGAATTGTGTTCTGTAACTTTCGCATTTTAAATATTTCTGTCGACCAATTTGGAGTATATCCTTTTTCGAATGTACCTTTGTATTTGCTTATACGCACATAATCACCTACTTTAAACTTACGTTTTAGATTATCATTCTTTACCAATCTAAGGTATCTCTGTAGTATTCGTTTTTTACTTTTATTATTAATATTGGCTGGAATTTCACCAATAGTTCGATGATAAGTGTGATTGTATTAGTAAATAACGTTATTAAGAGTATCGCCTATCCAGTTATAATTACCCTGTAAACTAAATGCTTTATACAATTTAGATTTCAAAGTTCGAATAAATCGTTCAACTATGGAAGCCTTCTTTGTTGAAAAGGTTGAGTAATGATTAATATTATAAGAATTCATAATTTTTTTTAAACTTATCGTTATAAAATTCTGTTCCATTGTCGGTTTGCAGATTTTTGGCTACACGTGTTTTTAGGAGCTTCATAAAGTTATAGCATACGTCCTCTTTACTTTTAGTCTTAATTGGAAAAGCCCAAGCGTATTTCGAAAATGTATCAATAACTGTAAGAATAAATCTGAAGTTTTTGTTTTCCTTAGAAACTGATTGCATATCAAATAAATCTGCTTGCCATAATTTTTTTTTTTTATAAGATAAGGGTGACAAACGAGCACACAGTCCACCTGATGGTAAGTGGTTGCTGCGGCCCATAGACATCTACATCTATCTTCTATTACAAATCAAAATGTAGATGCGTTGTCACCCGTGAGGACTAAGATGGATTGCCTCATTTCCAGTAAAAAGGGCGTCCGGCCACCTGCACTCACCAAGCGAAACACAGAGGTAAACCTCTACTTCACGCTGGTTTTCTGTGAGGTCGTGGTACCACCCCGGTTCGAGCCGGCCCATCCGTGCGACAGCAAAAGCTGCCGCGTGGCTCTACCACTGTTAAATTTTGCCATAAATCATCTATATCTTTCGTAATAACATTTCTACGTGGGAAATTCACCCTAGCATTTCTATGAATTCCATTTACTACATCGGCTTTACTCATGTTCAAAAAACAATATATTTTATTTTATTCTTATGTTGGTAGTTATTAAAAATAATTCGTTTATGCTGCTTGTTACTTAAATAAATACAGACAATTTTTTTAGTAATTTGCAACATGAGCAACTTCACCAATACTGAGTAAAAGCTAGTAATAATTTTATTTTATTCCTTTATAATGTTAGCTTCTTTTAATTCTTCAATGATCGATAAAATTTCATTATCATGATTTGTATTGCCCGCATCTCTTGAAGCTATTAAAAGATTTAATCTATCAACTAATTCATTTGGATCGTCCCAATATACAATATCAGTGTTGATTTTATATTTCTTAAGCTTAGGTAAATTACCTCCAAGCTTTTCTTCGATTTTTTTATATTTGATTAAGTTCTCGGAACATATGGTTTAATTATTTTTCTATATTTAATTCCCTTATCACCTCTTATTTGACCTCTAGGGTTAAAATCTCTCTTATGGTGTAGAATATCTTTGTACACGAGTTTATCAGCGCTTGATACTACATTCAAATCAGGTTTTTTTCTAAGTAGAAGTTCTCTTAACCCGATAGTTAAATTATAAGATTTGTCTCCAATTTTTATTAAAAATACAGTTTCGTTATCCAAACTGTCAATTTTAGAAAAAGTAACTTCTGAATGGTATATTTAATTTATCATCGTAAATATCATAGATATAATTCCAATCTAATGAAGCCTCTAAATTGTCTTTAATTTAATTTTTTGGGGATTCTGCAGAACTCAAGTCAGCATCGTAATAGTTCTGAAATTCCGATTCAAATGATCCAGCAGAACTTGCGCATGATTGCATCGATAAATTATGGTCTTGATTTGGTTTTTGCTTATTTACTATGATGTTAAGGGGCTCTGTAACAGGTTTTAACGTTTTATCTAGGGATAAGTTCAGTTCATGCTCATTATTTTTCATTTTTTTTTATTTTATTCTTTATGGAGTCCACAGACTTCATTAATTCCATTTTAATTTGCTTTTCCATAATGCTTAACAATACTTCATTCTACCGCGGCTACAATAAAACTAAATAGTTTTATCTAAAAAAAACCCGTTTATAATAGTTTACTCTAGGTTAAAAAAAATATCAAAATTTTTTCTATACCTGCCATTGTTTAACGGTGAGTGTTTGTTCATACAAACAAAATTATACGGCTCCATTGAGTTATATGTACCACAAAACACTAATACCCTTAGGTATGTACTACGTACTAGAGATAGAGAAGCCATTCCAAAATCCAAACAAAAATTGTGTCCTACTCTATGTCTTTTCTTTCAATGAAGTAAGTGGAAGTAAGGTTATATTTTGAATTTTTAATATTTTAGGTATACTGTTTGTTAGAATCACATAACTAGAAAGATATGTGGTTTTTTGAATAGTTCAAGAACTGTTCAAGAAAAAGGGAAAATAAAAAATAATGTTTACCAGAAATTTCAGAAATATTTGCCGAAGATATTCCCAAAGTGTAACATTCAGAACTACGGAAACGTCTCCTGTAAGAAAATTTTACTTACGAATTATATATCAGTAATTTAATTATGTGTATCAATTTTAATGTAAACAACAATTATTTTATGTGTCTAATTTTATCTGCCGTACACAAAAACCGAGAAATAATAACCAAAATGGATGCAGGACTGCCGCAGGCAGATATTAATGATGTCTTATAAACTTTAGCAAAATCGTCTACGGGCATATCTTTACTATCTTAATTATCTTTTGTACGTGTTCCAGGTACAGCAAAATGACAACCAAGTAGGGTTGTTTTACACTATCGAGAAAGATGTGTGTAAAAAGTTATTTGGACATGGAGGACTACCAAAGAGTTACATGAAACAAACCAAGACATTCACAGAAACAACTCTTATGATTCGACAGCCAGCTCTTGATGTCATAGATTGCATAAAAGCTAGTGATTTAAATAAACCTGCTATTAGATATGTTCTTTGTATCCTTTTTAACACTGTTTTGTACATCTTCAATATTTCATACATATTTTTTACAGCTTAAATGTATAAATAATAGCATCATGTTGTTTTTATAATATAGTGGCAAACAAGCTAACAAACTTGGATGGCATCCTCGTATTTGGTAATAGGGTAGCCTGCACTAGATGAAGACCTTGCGAGACCTGTCAGAAATTGATGGATGCAGGTGGTTCGGAACTATGTTTTATAATGTTTCTTAAGAGAAGCTTATATTCTGCACTGAACTTGTAAAGGACTGTTATTATGATGATGATGAGCTAACAATCTACCTAAAGTAAAAAGTAAAGTGTGTAAAGCAGCCTATGGGTATCTACAACCAAAGTAGGCCTCAGATATGTTGTTATTCTCAAAGACTAAGTGGGATGCCCTCTGTCTGTAATTATACTGGCAACAAACATAACATATTCTACATTATGGCTACATTAGTTAAAAGGTTGGTATCATTCCAAGAAGATATTTAAGAGTGGGTATTAAATGAAATGAGAAATCTGGCCATTACGTAAATAAATATTCATTTTACAAAGATAGATAGTTATATTCAATCGGTTTGTTTAAATATAACTACAAAAAATACTTAGTCAGTATTAAAATGTCAACTTATTGAAAATTATTTACTGTCTTACATACTTAGAGAACCGGAGAACCCTTTTTACTGGAAAAGAGGCATTCCATCTTAGTCCTCACGGGTGACAACGAATCTTCATTTTGATTCACAAACGAGAATAAATGTAGATGTCTATGGGCCACAGCAACTACTTACCATCAGGTGGACTGTGTGCTCGTTTGTCACCCTATCCTATAAAAAAAAAAACTTTTCTATTCCGTTTATTTGTTTCTTTTTAAGCTTATTTAAGTAATGGCTATTTTTATTATATTAATTTATTATAAGTACTTATGTATGTTTTATTACTTATGGTGTAATTGTGTATATGGTTTAAGTATACTGTATGTGCATATTGACTTAACATTGTATAATAATGAATATTGTTAAGCTTTGTTTTTGTTAAATGTTATTGGCATCCACAGAAGATTGAAGTACTTTGTTAGTACCAAGACTATGCTGAGTTGGGTACCTTTTTAGTAACCGTTTATCATAATATGTTATTATGGTTAGCAAACTTCTAAAATGTGTTACTAAATAAAATTATTTTCTTTCTTTCTTTCCTTCTTTCTTATAGCAAATGAAGACATATAATATTTAATAATAATTATTGTAGTAGTTAAGTGATTTTTTTTTAATTTGTAATATAAAAAATTACTATACTATGTTTCATATTCCTACATTGTCGTCTGATTTTGAGCTATGTTCAACATTTCAAGTCTCTAGTTCATCGGGAAATGCTTGAAATTAGAGTTGCAAGATTCTACCCGGAACAACAGAAATACAAGAAAGTGACTTATTAAAAACGTGGTAAAATAAGTTTTACTGCTGATCACAGACACTGCCAAAATTTATCCACAGGATACTATAGCACTGAATTATGGTTATTGTTTTTTTTACAAGTTTTTATTTCTTAACTTGACATGCAGATGGTGAAACAGGAACCGGAAAATCATTAACTTTAGCACATCTTATACATTATGCCCATGATGCTGGCTTTTTAATTGTCCATGTTCCTTGGGGTAAGTATCATTTATATCACATTGAATGTACTGTTTAGAAATAAAGATAGTAGTTTTATTTATATATATAAATTATATAATAATATAATTTCCTATTATTTATAGTTAACTATTTAAGATAAAATTTGTTGCACACTGGCAGCATTTTATTATTTAGTCTTTTGTTGCTTTTCCAGTAAACTCACATATTTTTCTTATGCAGTGTTGCCATGTATACAGATTTGTTCATATTTGTATGGATTTTGGAAGTCCAGTATGGATTTTAATGAATATGGATTTATGCTACAAACAGACAGACTAAACTTCATACAGACTTTTATTTTGCAAATAATGATCACACTGATTTGATAGTTATTCATTATGACCATCACTTTTATACTTCAGGAATGTTTTTTCACTTCATAGGAATACTATAGGACTAATGAGATGATGGTTTACACACAAATATGAAACAAATATTATATTATTCCATTTGTTTTATTTTTAAATAGAATTCATACAGGATTACATTCATAATTGTAATAAGGATTTAGTACAGAATTATAAAATATAAATACAGATTTCTTGCCTTCTCCATGTGGCAACACCATTCTTATCTTTACTTGCTTACATCTTTCCTTATTAGTGCACTTAGTCTTGCATATTAGAAATAGAAAGTTTAAATCAAAGTATATGTTTAAGTTCAGAGTTGTGTACTGAAATATTTAATTGTTTCTAATTTCAATAAAGTAGATATAGTTAAAAAGTGAGAATGTGTTTCCTTAACATTGTCTATGCCAAAATGTTGTTCTATGTTGCAAAGTTTAGTAGCACTTGTTTTTTTTAATGGTGTAGCAAGAGTTGCTACCATGAGAAGCTGATATAGCCGTTATTTATTTGAAATAAATTTAGAACTTTTTATATAAAGGTTGCATAACATGTACAAAGATTTAGTAATTGAGTTTAAGATGTGTGTAAATTATTATCTACAGTGTCTGAATGGCTGCGAAGAGTGCCACGTCACAAAGAGATGTCAAACTCACAGACCCGTGAGGGCTTTGTTGATTTGCCCCTAGATGCTGCAGCATGGCTGCTACACTTCAAGACCCAAAATCAGACACTCCTTAAGTGTGGAGATGTAAGTCTGCTGCATTAATAAATATATATATGTTGTGTGTATAGATAAAAAATATTAAGTTTACACTTTATAGCTTCTTCGTGTTATGTTTTAGCTGAAAATTTCAAAAGACTATGTATGGAGCAAACGCGAGCAGACGTCGGCCGGCGCACCGCTTGCCGAACTAGTGGAGCAAGGCATTTCTCGTGTTAAATACGCCTGTGACGTAATCGACGCGCTTGTTTACGAAATTAAACTGCTATCCAATAACAAACAGTAAGTTATGTTTATTAAGCCACTAAAAATACATCAGAGGAATTTTTGTTTTTGGATGAAATATCCAGTAGGTACCATATCTTCATGAGACGATTTTAAACGGAACATCCTCTATTTTCTTCGACTCTTGCTTCCTGTAAAAGCCCGCGCATATTTTCTTGACACCCTCAGTACGAATATGGTTAATAGTATTCTCTTAAGCTTCTACCATATGGCAATTATATTATGTAATACAATACTATACTACGTGACCAAAATAATTAGGCGCACGACAGCTAAGACGTCATTAGAACTAGGGATCGAAAACCGGAACGGTGATTGGTTACTAGGAGAAGCGTATCCCCGCGCGAGGCGAAGTGCGGCGCCGAAACCGCATTCCTCCCATGCGCCTAATTGTTTTCACCAGGTTGTATTCACAGATATTTTAGCTTAAACTAAAGAGTAAAATTGCTTTGTCATCATCATAGTATTGTAAGTCTAACCGGTTATAGTTTTCGCATTTTTAGAGTGCGTCTTTATTTTTGGATGGTTACGGGCAAACATAATTTACATAATATGTTAGTGTAAATATCGGCAGCGTTAATTCATTTTTTTATAGGAGAGGGTGACAAACGAGCACACAGTCCACCCGATGGTAAGTGGTTGCTGTGGCCCATAGACATCTACATCTATCCTCGTATGCGAATCAAAATGCAGATGCGTTGTCCGTGTATATGCGACTAAACTCCTTCTAAACGGCTGCACCGATTTTGATGAAATTTTGTAAGTGTGTGTGTGATTAAGTTGATTAGAGAATGATTTAGATTCACTATTGGATTCCGATAGGTGACATTGTTGCCGAGATTCAGAAATCAACCGTGCGAAGCCGGGGCGTATCGCTAGTTAATAGATATACAAGGGGCTTAGAAATGAAGTTGATTGTCCACAGCTTCTCGACCAATTTAAATTTCGCACTCCAATTAAAACTCCTCGCAAACCAATTACACTTTACCCACCATGTCGTAGAAGTGTTCTCGCTGCGCATTCGCCAGTCGCAAAGCGTTGTACGAGTAAATATTATTATAAATGTACCAATATTGTTGATATTAATTTTAATTCTGCATGTCAGTTTTATAAGAATTTATTTAAGTACATACTTCAAAGATTGCGAAAGTACGGATCGTATACTTAATTGTTGTAAAATACATACACGCGCACGCACGTACGCTCGCTGTGATTGGCATTATGAAGTAAGATTACCGTAAATTTTCTTTGAAGCTGTAATAATGTATGAATTGTTGGTAATCCTAACAAATACTTTAAAAAAAACCAAGCGCAGTGAAGCAATTAAACGCACTTAAAAAGTCTTTTACCATAAATACCATACTTTTGGGTTACTTAATATCGCTCTAGTTACACTTGAGTGTTTTTGTTTTTGTGTGTACACAAAACATGTGTCTGTGCCTATTAATCTAATCTACTATTATTTTCTGCTTTCGAGTATTATACATTTTTATATTATAGTTGTTCTATGCGTTACATATCCTATAATCATTAATCTATTTACAATTCACTGTTAGACCAGCATATTGTTAGGTTAGAAACAAAACTCACACTTTCTGCACCGTCTGGGACTGGTAATGTGTAATATTTTGTCTTTAAATAACGAAATTTATTATATTTTAGGTGTAAAACATTTGTGGCAGTAGATGGATACAACTGTTTCTTTTATCCAATGACAAGGCTAAATACTCCGACCAAAAAGAAAGTAAAGCCAGAAGAAGTCACGCTTACTACAACTTTTATGGAACTCACAAAGAATGACTGGGTAAATTTCCACCTATAAACTATTATTATCAATGGACACTTATCACCATGCCATAATGGCACTGTAAGACTTAAAAATTCACATTTCAAAATAAACTAGCTCAAGGAACACTCCAGTTTTATGGTGCAACACTTGATGATAACAGGAATTATAACTATGGGTGACAAGCGAGCACACAGTCCACCTGAAAGTAACTGATTGCTGTGACCCATAGACATCTACATCTATCGTCGTTTACGTATCAAAATGCAGATATGCATTGTCAGCCGTGAAGACTAAGATGGAATGCCTCTCTTCCAGTAAAAAGTTCTCCAGTTCTCTACACTCACCATACGAAACACAGCAGTGTTAAGCTGCTATTTTGCGCTGGTATTCTGTGAGAGTGTGGTCCTTCCCCAGTCGAGCCATTACAACTATACAATTAATTTAGTATTATATCCAACATGGTTCTTGTACCTTGTATTAGTTAGACTTTTTTTAATAGAGCTTGTAAATATTCATAGTAGGGCAGATTAACTGCTACAACTCATATATGTAAGCCTCTCCCTGTTATTAGATGTGCTGTTTTATATAAACAAGATCCATTCATCACGAGTAATAAAAGTTCACCACTGCTGAATATAGGCCTGTCCTTAAAGGGGATATTAGCTGTTGTTGCCACGTTTAGCAGGAGGTTTGACAACCTAAGTTTTTTATTTACTAGTTACTATTAGGAAGATGCTAAACCAGGAGATAGGTCCTCGTTTGTTTGGATATATTTAAAACACCACTACTTATCATCTATATTAATATTATATAGAGGTAAAGTTTGTGAGTTTGTGTGTTTGTTTGTACTGAACCGATTTTAAAAATTCTTTCACCAGTAGAAAGTTACATTATTCCTGAGTGACATAGGCTATGATATATGATTGTGATTAATAATATTTTTTATTGTGAAATAACCATATTTGTCAATCAATTCCGAAAATAAATCCTAAACACTCAGTACTAAGAACCACACAAGATAATTTCATCACCAGTAAAAATGTTTGACGCCCAGTGAAGTGGCCACGGGTCAACTAGTATAATATATGCTAGTGACGGCTCTCTGGTGCAGTGGTTAGCATATTTTATTAAGAGCAACTGTTCACGATCCTGATGGTAAACAATCACTATGCTCCATGTTGCGACTTGCAGCGCTGTTGTAATAAGAGTTAATATCATAAACATAGGTTTTTATTCACATGGAATTCGAAATATATAGTAGCAAATTTGTACTATTAAGTTTTAATGCAGATGTATATAATGTGCATTTTTATTTGACAGACAAACGGTGTAATAGTACTATCAGTGGATCAAATCGCCGTACCTGAAGACCACCAAGAGAGCTACTTACCAAAGTATTTGCTGTATAAAAAGGTAGTTATGCTGTGAGCTACAACTTTGTATTATAAATACTATCCACATGCACAATGGTATATGTTTTAAATGCTTAAAATAGAACCTTTTTTTGACACCTCAAATCCAGAGTAAAGTGAAATATAAAATTACATAAATTTGTTCAAGGTCATTAGAAATGTTAAGTACTTCTAGTGTTGATTGTATTCTAGAAGTATGTATTTTTAGTGTTGAATGACTTTTTTACTATTGCCAACTCTAACCTGCACTTAGTACAACCTGCTGCTTGACCAATTAACAAGTGGTAAAATTAAAAATTTTGACAACCGACTTTGATATAAATTATTAAAGATGACTCAAAAACTACCTGTCAGACCTTGATCAAATTTATATGTTATCACAAGAGAAGCACCAGCTTTCAAATAAAAAAAGAATCATCGAAATTGGTTTACCTATATAAAAGTTATGAGGTAACACACATAAAAAAAACATACAGTCGGACTGAGTACCTCCTTATTTTTGAATTCGGTTAAAATACCCTTTAGTGCTGGTGACTTATGATGTCTGAATCTAACAGTCTGGCAATGTGAGGCAGCATAACCAGTGGGAGGATGTGCTGTGCTTGATGGGCAAATCCTTCAACATTGTTAGATGCATTTGTGAATAGGCATAGAAAAGTGTGTGTAAATCATGAATATTATTTAATTTATTTACCTAACATGACGTAATCATTGAAATTGCACACGATTTTGTTTTTTTTTTTAAATAGTTAATTAATGCTTTTGTTTTCACAGGGTTTTGAACACCTAGATCCTTTTGTTCCAGTGGAAGTGGGCAGATATTCTGAAAAGGAATTCTTATCTTGTGCTAGTTATTATAGAGACAGGCTGTGGTTACGAGGGCCTGAAGATCTTGAGACTGAACTAAAATTAGCCAGTGCCTGCAATCCGTACAAATTCATGGAGCTCTGTGCCCCACTGTAAGATTTATTGTTTCAATATAGTATGTGTAGGTATAGCTGATGAATTGTTTTATTAAATAAACACCCTTTTCCTGCCATTCATACTTACAATGGTATTGGTCCAAATGCAAATCCCAATGTTTAGAATCTATGGTACAGAATGTAAGAAACGTAACATTTAACTTTAATTTGCAAACATGTGAGAATTAATTACTTCATACATAATATTTACTTGTGGTAGAGCGAAGATGCAGCTATAATATGGTTGTATCATGAATGTTACGGCTCGACCAGAGAATGACCAAACTCTCACTGAATTCCAGCGTAAAATAGCAGTTTAATGCTGCTCTTTTGTTCGTAGAAAGCCTTTTATTGGATATGAGGCATTCCATCTTAGTCCTCTGAGTGACACCACATTTTTTTTTTTTTTTTAATAGGATAAGGGTGACAAACGAGCACACAGTCCACCTGATGGTAAGTGGTTGCTGCGGCCCATAGACATCTACATTTATCCTCTATTACAAATCAAAATGTAGATGCGTTGTCACCCGTGAGGACTAAGATGGAATGCCTCATTTCCAGTAAAAAGGGCCTCCGGCCACCTGCACTCACCAAGCGAAACGCAGAGGTAAACCTCTACTTCACGCTGGTTTTCTGTGAGGTCGTGGTACCACCCCGGTTCGAGCCGGCCCATCCACACATTTACATTTTGATTCTTATTCGAGGATAGATGTAGTCTGTGATCCATAGCATCTACTTACCATCAGATAAGACTGTATGCTTGTTTGTCACCCATACTCTATAACAAAATTATGCATGATTAATACACGAGAGCGTATAAATATGTCGACTAATGTGACACTTGTAGTTTAGACCCTGTTTATGGATGGCAGTGGTGAGACAGACAGTAAGTACCCGTTACATAGAGGAAGACCTGATGAAAGCTGCCTGAAGTTCAGTGTTTGTTTAATCATCTACTTCATCTATTGAATATAAAAATTAAATTTAAAGATTCCTTTTTGAAATATATGGCATTGTTTTTATATTTTACCTAAATTCAAGCATTGCATCAATTTCCTTATTATTGGCATATATCTACCTAACACATTACACTACTGCATACCACAACTTGACCTCTGTTAAGCAAAAATAAGAAAATTGTGAACTCATTTCTCATTGTTATTTTTTATATTCCCCTCACTTTGTCAGCAAAAGTGAGAAAAACTTGAACACTCTCCTGCCCCTAAGCCTGCTTACTTGAACGCCCCATAGCTGGTCACTCATGCTAAAAATGTCACAGTGATATCAGTTTGGTAACAAGTGAAACTATAATGAGCAAATATAACAGGAGTGTTAAGTAGTAATTTATGCCCTTAACTATTGCAATAGTTAAATCTATGATACATAATATGCCTAGTTTACAGTGTATACTCTGTAGACACTAGGAACAAACAGAAGCTAGTGATAGTGATACCAGTTTCTTGACTCCGCAGTCGATAATTCATTGTTGGGGCAATGTATATGCTATTACAACAATCGCATAAAATATACAAGGTCTCTATTACCAAGTTTAAACATTTTATTAAACACTAACTGTATAGAAAGAAGGGATATTATAATATAAATAAATACATGGTTGATAATAACCCATGGGAATGATGTAGTAAACACTTCAAAGCTGTTTCCAAAATAAATTTTGTAAATAGTTTATACAATGCTCGCATCATTGACATCACAACCGTCGTCCATTGTCCCACTGGGTTTCATGCTGGTTCTTCCCAGGACTGAGGTATTTTCCCGAATCGAACCGAACCGAAAGTAGTTAAAACCTATATAAATTTAATCTATATTGAATAAAAAATTATTCTTTTTATTCTATTCCATTCTAGTTATAAGATAAAAATTAACAGGGAAGGGTAAGGAAACTCAAATATTTAAATTTGATTCGATTAAATATTTTATTTTAGTGAATGATATCTACAGTTTCATTTAATACATAATTTAAACTTTGTAGCCGACAAAGTGACGTTTTCCAATGCATTCTCCTACAAAAAACCAAAATAGAACTTCAGCCCCAACTAAGGTGTTGAGTGTTGCCTGTTTTACTGTCTGCTGCTTCCATGCTCCAGTCTTCGCACTTGTTAGAAGTTTAGCAATTCCAGCTTTAATTTGCGGAATTTCACTTAGCTTAGGCGGAGCTAGCTCGACTCGTGCATATTTCATGAAAATGTTGAATTTGGGCCTAGCTTGTGTGAGGGCGGCTGAAAATATATGATTATATTTATATAAAGATATAACTAAAATATAAAAATTAAGTATTAATAAGCCTACATAAAATTAATTTTCATGTTTTTATTACAAATTACATAACCATATTTCGAACGACAATGTGAAGAAAAAACTATACTTACAAGAAATCATAGACGGTACTTTAGCAACTACGTTAGCCATGGTTTTATTTTATTTTAATTGAAACAAATGAAATATGTAATCAGAAAACACTGAATTTTCAATTTTGGAATTAGTAAGCTAGGCTAGGTTATTACTCGAACTTGACGTAATGTCAAATTCTTTAATCTTTGGTCAAAATCAAGAGAGTAGTAGGCAGAGTTGCCAATGCCAATGTATGTAATTCCCCAAAAATCTAAATAAAATTCCCCAAATTTGGGGACAAAAATCTGCTGATTCCCTACAATATTATTTTCAACAATGAAACATGTTTCAACTATTTAAATAATATTTATTTTTAACCTTTGTTGCACTTTTTCAATACGTTTGATGCAAGGATTTTGCTCGAAGGATTAATAAACTTGATACTGCCGCCCATTTTTTTATCCCCTCTCTTGTTGCCATTAAAGATACTACAGTATCTGTATTTCGCCGATTGCGGTTTTCTGTTTTTAAATATCGAAGCGCACTAAATTTTCTTCCGACCGATGCCTTTGAAAATGGCAGTATGAGCAACATTTTATACGTGGTAGAGCCATGCTGCAGCTATATTAGTAGGATAGTTGTAGCACGAATGGGTCGGCTCGACCGGGGAAGGACCACGCTCTCACAGAATACCAGCTTAAGACTGCTGTGTTTCGTATGATGAGTGAAGAGAACCGGAGAGCATTTTTCCATACTTTCTCCAGCCTTTGATGCAATATTTCGTTTAAACTTAGAAAATGTTTTGAGATTTTGAAGTCTGCGTATAAAATATTAACACAGGACTTGACATAGCTAATTTTCATGAAATTAGAAGACAATGTTTTCAAAAGGTTTTCGACTTCTGGTTTTAATTTGTTAAGAATGGATGTTTCTGATTGAAATAAGACATTGAATTTTGTTACCAGTGCAAGTATGTGTTATAATGCTAAGGTGTGGGTTATCTAACTTTATCCTTCTCTTTTTCTCGATTAAAAATTTTTTTTCTTTCTTAGTGAGCGTAAAGAAAAGAAAACATGTGTAAAAAGTAAACACCTGAGTATTTTTTGTTCGTGGTCTTTTCAAGAGAGCGACACGTACAGGAACTGAGCGGTGGTATGCAGCAATCATGGACATATAAGTAAGTTCTCTTGGCCTTTTAATGCTGGTGTGGTAATACAAAAGTGAATGTATTTAGTTTTGCGTGCATTTAAAGATAGGTAATGCGTAGCAAGCTATTGTTGGACTGTATTAAGACCAGTTTGTGCAACAGAATAAACTTCTTCCCAAGATTGACCGTAAAAGGTAAGTGTGGTGTCATTAGCATAGCACATAGCCTTACAATTGAGAATATTAATTATCTGAGTTTCAAAGACGTTCATGTTGTTATAATCTTAATTTTTGTCGATGTTGCATATTAACCTTGCTCACTATGAACAGCTTCTTGTTATTCATAGATTACCTCCTAATAGATTCCGCATACAGGGCCACAAACGCGCGCAACACATACTTGCTGTAGCTAGCATACGAAGCAAAGCTAAGAATCACGACATCAGTATCGACCAAGTTTGTGATCCGTAGGCACGTCCGAGTTCTTGACAATTTAAAAATAGTTTTGTATCCAAAATACATTACAAATGGCTTCCTGTGCAGTAAAATGGTGTGAGAAGTCAGCTAAGACATCCAGTTATCAAAAAGATGCATAAATTTTTATTGGTAAGTAAATTCTATTCTTATCACGTTAACCTATTTCAAATGCACCGGAGATCAACTTATACTGGTATATTAATGGTGCAAAGTGATAACAATTACGCACCCGTTGATGTCTTTTTGAAATGTCCCTTTCACTCGTTACGTAAATTACAATAGTTGTCTTTGTCTAACAACAGCACGTGTATCGATAGTGTTGTGATTTTTATGTCGATATTTGTTTGGTTATCGTTTAATTATTTTTTTCGAAGTCATATTATTTTATAAAAATAGTGACGTATCATTGTGGTACCTATATGTTATAGGTTTCCTAAATGCCCCGAAAGGAAAAAAGATGTGGATCGACGCAAATTGTCGAGGGGACGAATGGTTTCCCACCAATAATAGTGTACTATACTCAAAACACTTCACAGAAGACAATCTTCATAATATTATGAAAAATCGTATAAAGCTGTCGGATTCTTGCCAGTTTTGGTATGGACTTTTGCATTTTTTTTAAAGATTAGTACAAACGCAGATTACACAATAATATCATTAAGTGGTTGAGTGAAACATGATATTCTTATATTTAGGTAAATGTTACACGTCGAAATCAAGCTATTTTGAACGGATTTATAAATCATAAAACTTGTAAAAGTTATAATGTGATTATTGTTTTGACTTGGTATTTAGTGTTACATGAACTTCAGTATTATCTTATTATAATTATTAAGTACATCTAAATTTGGAAGACGTGCCGTATGGTGTATTAATTAATAATACTATATCGGTAATGTTTTAAAAGAAACGAATATGTATTTCTGATTTAGATTACTGGTTCACCGCTGAAAGACGCGAAAAACCCGCCAACACCTAAAAATCAGAGTCATTGCTTAGAAACGCCTACAAAACAAAAAAGAAAATTTTCTCCTATACCTGATACGCCATCTGCATTTGATACTCCAGTTAAAAACGTCTTTGTAGAAGAATCATCGAATTAACCAACGTAATGAACAAAAAAGATTAAAAAGTTACGTGATTCCAACAGAAAACTAAAAACACAAATAGTTTCTTTGAAGTCATTATTGGTAGAATTAGAAAACAAAAATTCATTAGCAGCGGAAAACAATGACGCATTAAGTTCCTCAGAAAAATCAAAATCTAGAAAATCAGGCAAAATTGTTAGAAAAAAATATTCACCACAATTAAGAGCTTTTGCACTCACCATAAATTACTCAGCTAGGCTTATAATTATGTACGCAAAACATTTAATACTTCTTTACCTTCTGTAAAAACACTAGGAAAGTTTGTAGTTTTAACACAATCAATTAAGCTTAATTATAAATAATAATTATAATAAAATTATATATATTTATATATAATAATAATAAAAATAATAAATATAAATAAATAAGCAGTTTTGTTAATGATGATATTTTTCATGAAATAAAAAAATCACCAATTCGATCACGAAAGTTGTAATCATGTCATTAATTTAACTAAGAGCGTTATGGAAAAATACATAGACATACTCGTAAGATTACTCTACTCATCCAGGAAGACAGATCCTAAGAATTCTATGAGACAATTTTATACTAAGATTATCCATTTTAAAAATCAGTCAAATATATATTTATAAATTAAATGTACAAATATATGTATACAATGTTTAATTTTATAATAAACATCAAATAAAAATTGATCAATATATTTATTTATCATTATCAATAATCAATAAATCCCAAATTTATCGATCAACGTCCCAATCCTGTTCCATCACTATGGTTTGTTACATTCTAAGTTTGACCTTTAAATATCCAATCACAGCGCATTTGACACGTCCCCCGCAACCCTTGCACAGGGCCAAATTTGGTGAACTCGAAACAGAACAAATATTCAATGATGCGGTATCTATTAGGAGGTAATCTATGTTGTTATTGCATGTGCCTTTTCCAGTCGTACTTTTATCACCTTCATTAACCAATGTATTAACGTAGTTTTGAAGTTACAAAAACTCCTTGATTGATTTAACAGAACCTTAGATTACTCGTATTTTTATATTTTAGAACGATACAATATTTCTATTAAACTATAACAAATTTTACGAAAAACAGTCATTAACGCATCAATTGCGACTGAGTACGGCGTTCTGCGAAGCTTGCTTGCCAGTAGGCTACTGATGACTTATGACGTCACTTTTTTTTATAAAACTGAAATGACAAACGAACTTGCAACAGTCTCCCTGATGTTAAGTGGTTACTGCTGTCCCTAGACACCTGCAACAAACCTCAAACAAAGAAGGCTAGATTTGCGTTGTCAACTCTGAGGAATGAGATATTCAGTCTTCAGAGGTGACAATTCAGTGTGCAAAATAATTTTATAACACGCAACATGCAAACTTCGGAAACCTCAACTTTCAAGCCTTCTTCATTATCCTCAAGAACCCCCACCATTCACTTCCAAAATCATCTTCTGCAGTTTTCAGTTCTTGCAAGTCAATCTAACCAGTCTTCATCTCGACTCACCACAGATTTATAAGGCAAACTTCTGGCAATTGCTCTGGCATATCGTTCTGACCGGTATCACTTGCAAGTGCGTAATAGGCATCACTTGCCCTTATGCACACAGCCTGAATTCCCACGGAAGGAAAAGGGGAGATCTCCCACCGAGAAAGGTAGCCCGGGGAGCTAATAAGAGAGCCAATGCTCCGTGTGTTAGTATAGAGCTGTTTTTATATTTATCGCAGTGCTTCGGAACTTTGATAGCGCGATTTATGCTAAAGCCTAAATCGCGCTTTCGCTTGTAGTGTGACGATAGCGGCGCCACACTACCCCGTGCTCATATCCGAGGTCGACAGTGCAGTCTGATTGCCCGCGCGTCCTTAATGCCGGCGGGTAATGCATGCTGTGTGCGTAAAGCGCGGCGCCCACCTAAGTAACGTAACGAGTGATCTGACGCGTGATTTGACGCGTAACTTGTCACTCGCCTCAACATTCAAAGGGATTGTATGTAGCAGCGCCCATTAGCGTGGCGTGACGCCGCATGACGTGACGTGCCATTCAGCTTGCTACTAGTGACGCATCGAAGTGGCGCGTAACACGTAACTTGCAGTGACTTGTCTATACAAAATGAAAGACGACCTAGCTTTTTTTCTTTTCATGAAAGGCCATGTATACAATATGATTGTTCTAGATCCGATTACATTAACAGGAATTCGCAAGATACTTCTTGCAACTTATAGTGACTTGCCTATGCAAAATATTATTCTAATTCCTTCATAGCATTGAAAGTCCCACCAATTTTCAATTTTTTTCCTCAAAGCATGTACCCGAAATCTTTTGCTGGCACTTGGA